GGTTAGACACATGAACGGGTTGGTGGTGTACCTGGAGCTTCTGTTTAGGACTATGCTTCCTCCTCAGTGTTTGCGGTGCTGTTGTGAGACTGGACAGGGAGTTAGAGAGAGGGCAGTTAGTGTCAGCAACAATTTATATAGGGGAGAGCTGGGAGGTTGTGTCTTGGAGGCTGGATTTAAGATGATTAAAATTTAAAATTGAGTTTCAGTGGGTCCCCTACCTACGGGCACAAGGGTGTTGTGGTGGTTAGCACCGTCGCCTCACAGCAACAATGTCCTGGGTACAAATCCACTTGGCTGGGGCCTTTCTGTGTGGAGCATATTCTCTGCGTGGGTTCTCTCCTGGTACTCTGGCTTCCTCCCACAGTCCAAAGACAAGAAGATAGTGTGGTTAGGTTAATTGGTGAGTCTTTGGTTGGTTATCTGTCTTTCTGTAATAACCCTATGACGGACTGGCAACCCCCCTCAATTAATTAGCTAAGCAGAAGAAAATGGATGGATATGGATCTACTGCTGCTCAGCAGGTATTTGTTGATGTTTGCCTGTGTACATGTAAAAATGTATCTGCAGAATTGTGCATGCAGACATGACTGAGTGGACCCCATACTTCACCAACATACAATGCAAAGGGCAGAATGAAACTATCAAATATTTTACTACTTAGAAGCCTTTCAGCTGTTGAGCTAAGATCAATTTTTCTTTTAATTACACAATCTAAAGACATTCATGGTTTTTGGACTTGCTATCACACATATTGGGAAACGTCTCTCTTGATTAGTCCTGAAACAAACTGATGATGTGTGCAGAGTGTACTATGCCTCTTACCCTGAGCCCGGTTCTGCTGGAGGTTTCTTCCTGTTAAAAGGGAGGTTTTTTTTCCGTCTCTCCGTGCTTGCACAACTGAATTACCCTATCAAAGCTAAGACAGGCTGCAGATAGTTTCACTGACACTGATGTTTTGATCATTTAAAATGAGAAAGCAGATTAAATCACAAGTCGTTTTCATTATAAACTGTTAGAACTTAGACTCTTTACACTTACACTGGGGAGATTATTCCATTTTTGGAATTGAATCAAATAAGACCTGAATATCTTAAACAAACAAAAAAGAAAGAAACACTTCAGTACAAGAACTGGTCTATTAAAATGACAGAGGTGTGATTGGGATAATAATCTCACAAGATAAACTTTGGTATATCAAGCAGATTGACTTTATTTGTAACTTCCAACTTCCATTGTAATTAATCATCATTAATCATCACCGGGATCGCATCAGTTAACAGTGTTATTGCCGCCGTCTCTATTACCTTCACAGTCACCATCTGCTCAAATAATGAAATTACATTATCTTAAACAGGCCGGTGACAAACGCTTTAATCTGCTGTGATATTGACAATCTCATTATCAGTTACATAGTAAGTAGCTTAAATACTGAGGACATTTTGCTCGACGGTGCTTGAACAGAAAGCCCGGTCTCGGCTTCACACGTCACTGTGTAAGACAATAATGCGCTGTATGTGACATTATTGTTTCAAACCCATAGAGGCTGCATGTACATTACAACTACACTGTGGTGACAATCCGTTTGTTTGACATTCGATCACACGCAATCCAGCAGCATGAAATATTCAGCAGGAAAGGAAATGCGAACTGAAATGCGAAGTTAGCGCCGAGACAGCGAGAGAGCTTGCGTACAGGGCAGCGGCAAAGCGGACTAAATAACGTCAGGCGACACAGTCGACGTTTGCTGCGTCTTTAACCCGTATTAACACATTTTTAAACTCAGCCTGACTATAATGTGACCTCAATCATACAATCAGCCTTTAACCAGACACTGTGTATCTGCAGGATAATTATATATTGCTTTAAACTTCAGAGGAGGACACGTAAATACAGCGAGACGACAGTGATGTGATTATATGCGTTTGAGCTTTTACACGCGACCATTTTTTGTGCTATTGATTATCGTCTTTCGCGTCGGAGCGGCAGACTGACTGCCTTAAGGTGGTGACACATCGTTGCATCAGCGACACACAGCTGCTCTTTATTGCAGTGCAAAAACAAAGGGCACGGATACTGTATCACCGCGGACACAGGGCTCGTTAGACGTATGCTTTTTCACGTTCCCAAAAGAGCGTGAACAGAACATTGCTGTTGTAATTGCTGTTATCAGGGAGACTTCATGCAACTCACGCTGTTGTGTTTGAGGTCAAAGGTCAAAATGCTTGTTAGTATGTATGAATGTTACAATTATTGTCTGTATACGCAGCAATTTCAGCTGCATTTCGACAGTCCAACATGTACAGAGTCAAAGAAATCCATTTGTGACACCTGGTCACACTTTTGTATTTGTTTAGCCAGCAAGGTATTTATGAAAATGAAGGCTCATCATGCAGCTGGAATCCACGTGACTTCAAGTCAAACCATTTAACTTTTTTTTTTAATTGTTTTTTACGGTGTTTGACAAACTTGGTATGACTACTCGACTCACCCCATGACCACGAGAAAAACAGTAACAGTATTGACAACAATACATCGGTCATAATTGCTAGAGCATTTTATAAGATATTCAAGTGGTGACGTTGATGAAACGGTGGAAAATGAGAGCAGGATTTTGTGTCCGAGCGAAGAAAGAAAAGCGTGTATGAGAAAGGAAACCGTGGTGCATTCGACTGCTCTAAGAGGAGTGTTGAACACAGTCCAACTTCCTCCGTGTCGCTTTGTGTCGTGCAGCGCAAAACGGCCAGACGATAAGTTGTTTGTGTAGGTGAAATGGAAGCTAAGTCACAAAATGTTAAAAATGTCTTTGTCTAATAGTGTAGCGCCCACTGCTTGTGGTTATATGTTCAGAAAGCCGCTTAGCAACACATACAAGTCCAGCCAGAAGCAGGGGCATGAGCAATACTGCTCGGCAACACATTCAGTCACAGTTAAAGGAAAAGAATAAAATCAGCAGAGGCTGAGATGATTAAAGCACAATCAGATCAGACACAAGCGACGTCAACCAGTGATGTCACAGCATGTGCTTTAAAAATAAATCAATCAATTAAAAAAAAAAAGGAAAATCTGCAGCTAAACAAATCACCTGGTTTCACATCACCAGCTGGTGTGTACAGATGCTTAAGTCTCAAACCCACAAAGCATGGGACAGCAGCTGTTTTCTACACTGGGTCGCTGTTGGTGGTTTATCCCCATTAACCTTCATATATATAAGGCTCTGCTGCCATCTGGTGGATGAAAGTCACGTGCCAGGTTCTATCAGGCAAACCACCAAGTATTAAAAACATTCTAGGTGGATTTACGCGTGAACAGCACCTCAGCTATGAAACAATTAACAAACATCTGTAAGAAACAAAAATGTGCACGTTGATGATGAAGTTTAGTCGCTTCATGTAAATGTTTGCTTCTGCCCCACAGTCCACGAGCACAGATCACACTGTTGCACATTGTGTGGATCTGGTGAAGCCACCTGTGTGAGCTGTTAATGTGCATGTATATAAGCGCAGGCATTCTCTGTAAGTTTTTTACTTTTTTTTTTTACTTTTTTTTTGCTTTGGCATGTTGATGGATTTATGAAGAAAAGCTTTTGTTGTCCCAGGAACGCAGCAATTAACTGAAATCCTGAGCAGAAAACGTTGGCAACACAAAGGCAGCGTAGCAGGAAAGTTCCATGCTTTCAGTGTGTGTGTACGTGCGCGCATGTTTGTGTTTGGAGACTGCATGTGTGCGGTGATTATGGGTTTCGGGATGAATGCCGCTCTAGTCTAAAACAAGCTGTAGTAATGGCCGCTTTACTGCTGTGACTAAACATGCAAGCGCGAGTGTGAGTGTGTGTTTGTGTAAGACATCATGGGCACAAAGATCTCTTGGCACACCTGAAGTGGCTGACACACTTTTGACACACTCAGAGATACTAAAACATGATATAAATATCCAGTAACAACAAGTATTAGTGTAATACACTTATTTAAGATGAACAAATGAGCAAATAAGACTTGTAAGCAAGTATAACTGCATCCAAACCACAACTTGAGGCTCATCAACCCAAGCTGACTGGGCCAGGAGCATTGTCAGTTTTACAAAAATAACAAAAATAATAATAAAAACCAGCAAAGATAAGTGTAAGCTTACAAAAGCATCTGGATCACTTAAACAACCTGAAAAACGTCTACAAATGTAGATGATATAAAAGTAGCAAATCACTGACTGAACTGACAGATTCAGGTTTTCAGTTAGAGCTCGTTACTTTTCACCGCGAAGATCAAAAACACATACTGAACAGTAGCCACGTTATTACAGTGAAACAAAAGTCCGAGAATTAGTGAGAACAATGCGATTATACAAATAAATGAACACAGGAGTGTGTTCGGTGCTTTTTCCAGTGCTTCTTTTTGTTTAGGGACATGAATGGAGTCAGTTTTATCCACAGGTCAATAGACTGAGATAATGACTGATTATGTAAAAATAATTGTCATTTTAATCTCACGTTTTCAGCATTTTTCCACTTCTTCGCTCCTCGACAGTTTTCCTTCCCCTCATTATTTGCGCCGATTCCCTCCCAAAAGCTACACAAGATCCAGTGTGTGCGAATGTGTGTCAGAGTGTGCGCGCATGTATGTGTCCCCTACGCCAAACCAGGTCAGCAGTCATGCTCCACTTTCTCTCTCCAGAAAGTTGCGATGAGAGAACTTTTCCCCGTTGTCTCTGCTCGATCCACATCCGTGTCTGCGTGCGGTAAACGTGTCCGTTTACTGCCATCGCTCGCAACGTTGATCCAGCATTGTTTCTGCCTCGTGGCTCTTTACTCGGCTCTTTCCGCGTGCTTTTCATTCCCTTGTGAACAGGAAGCAGAGAGAGAGAGAACGAGGGAGACGCTTCCGACATCAGATAGTGGCTGGAGTGACCTCTGAAGGGCGCTATGCAGGAAAGGTCAACAAATGTTCATCGAACTACTTTAGCGTGTTTAGTGTGCTTTGGAAAGTATCAGCATCAAAGCACTGAAGGTCTCACCGTCTGTGCCGATTGCCTCTCCTGGGCTGAGACGTGACAACGCAGGAAGTAGGACACAGCTATCCATGCCCTTGTCTACATACGTCTAAAATATCTGAATCGGTGCAGATTGTTCATCGATCGCTACTTTTTGGCACTGCGTTTTGCAACGATAGCCATATTTGCTACACAGCTATTAGTAGCTAACATGCATCTCTATGCCAGCAAACGTTTACACATTTTATGCTGAGGCGATGTTTTTCAGAGAGCACTGTTTCTTATTTGCAGATGATTCTCAGAGAGTAGGAGGTAGCAGAGTTAGGGCCACAGTTCTTTCACAGGGCTGATAATGACAGATCGTTAGTGGGAGTTAACCTCATACTGTATTTCCTCATTCGCAATTTTGTTGTCTGTGTGATAAAAAAGGAAGCAATTAAATCTCTGATTGCTGCTTACTGTAAGTGTTACTTCCCATGCAGTCCAATCTTATGGACATAAATGAGATAAAGAGGTCATTTTCCATGCCTAACCACATGTAGTACTACATAGTATATTGATAAGGAGGAGGGTTTTGGGGTTATTGCGTTTTCTTAGTAGCATGCAGGCCTATCTTTGGGAACAAATGTGTTAATCTATAGCACAACTACACTGGCATCACTGGGGAAATTTAAAGCTCATGTGAGAATCAAACCTTTCAGCTGTTACTTTTTCGGTGAAGTCACTTATATCACGGTGCCCACATAATTTGCTTTTTCCCCTTTCAAATGCACAGGCGTAAAGGTCACAATAACGTTACACAAGTGGGGGGAAAATCCAGTTTATAAAATATGGTCACTGAGAGGAAACCTCAGCCTCGGGGAGATGTGATATGTGAAAATGCGATCTCATCGCCTACAGGAGCGAGGAGGGTGTCATATATCAACCGCTTGAAAAAAAGAAATAAAAGGAGGAGCAGAAGGATGGAGTGGGGTGAGAGGATGGGGGAGTTCACTGTGTTAATGCAACGTTTGCTTCTTCCAAATATATGATGCTCCTCACTAGTTTTTTAGCAATAGAAAGAAGAAAGACAGGACATGTGATAAAATGGACAGAGGGGAGAAGACGGGCAGGGCAGCGCTGAGAAGTAGAGGAAGCGACTGCTCTACTTTTATGGAGTTTTTTTTCCTATCGGCTCTATAACAGTAATGGATAGAGTGGTGGGGAAGCTAATGGTGAAATAAGACGTAATACAGCATGACGAGACGGGGAGGAAATCAATGCTTCTCCTCTTTTATTGTTACTGCCTTCTGTTAGAGGTGCCGTGTGAGGTCATAATGCTGAATCTGACTGAATCTTCTCACCTGTTTGAATAATATTTGGATTTCCTGATTAGATTCAAGGTCAGGATTGTTGTTCAGAGGTTGTTGTGTCTGAGATCAGTCCTCCTCCTTTTGTGATTATCTTTTGGATAATTTTATTTTCTAGCTTTTAAGAATCTGTCAAATGGAAAAATGAGATTTAGGGTAATCTGGTCTGTGTCCATTTTGGATTCTTCTTAGCCTGCGTGTCCTGCATGCTGATGTCTTTTGCTCTACTTTACTACGCTGTATTTTACACGATCTATTTATTCCCACATCTGAATTATTTATAACCTCTTATCAATTTTGATTCTTTAAATTGGCCCGATTCTCAGTTCCTCTCTCTATATATTATTCTTTAAATTCCCTTTTTGTAGTCTTTCATTTGTGTTAAAGAAAGATTAGACAACAACAAACTCCACTACCTCTCAGCTGGTTTGGTGTCTCTCCACTGCCTCTCCAAGCTGCTATCTTTAGACTTGTTACCCCTCCCACTCCTGCTCCTGCTCCGATATAGCTGAAGATAGACATTTCTAACTTTGCAGTCTTCCAAATTATCCAATCCGTCACCTAAAATTGCAAAGATTTTCTTGCCCTTGCTCCTTTTCTTAGACTCTATCTCACCTCGCTGCTGCACTCTCTAGCAGCTCTCTTCTTCTGATCTAGTGGGTTTACTGACTTTTTACAGTATGCACTGTATTTGTCATATCTCCTCCGTTTGCTTTCCCAGTTCCTCTGACAGTATCTTCTCTTTTCCCTACATCTCTCCTGTTTTGTCTTTCTTACCTCTCTCACTGTGTTCTGTCTGAATCCTTTCTTCTCTCTATGCATCCTTCCTCTCTTCTTTCATCTCCCTCAGCCTGTACATTCTCGCTCTCAGTGTTTTTATTTTTCTCTTCATCACATGTCGTCTCCGGCATGGCAGCTCTCCTCGCCGTGTATAATGAGGACGGGGAAGAAGAACGCATCCTGATAGGATGGAGGCCGATCCCTCTCACCCTCTCTCGCCTCTCCTCCCCCTGCGTTGTCTTGCTCTGCCTCCTCATCCCTCTCTCTCCTTCCTCTTCCTCTATCTTCCCTCCTCGTCTGCTCCTGCTCTTCTTCCTCGTCATCGTCACCTTCCCCTTCAAGCACTCCTCTGGTCTCCTCGTTGTTCTGTCTTGAACCTAACCCAAGGAATCCTCCACCACCTCCACCCCCTCCGCCACTTACCCCTCCTCCTCCTCCATCTTCCCTACTTCCTCCCAGCCCACCCCCCATGCTTCTTGAATGAAACAGGCTGTTCTGGCGCCCACCTCCAAGTCTCCCGAGAGAGAACCCGCTCCGACTGAGCACCAGTCTCCCTCCCATACCCCCACCTCCTTGCCCTGCTGCTCTGATCCCTGCCACTGTAGCGTTCAGGAGGGCTGTGGTTCCCATTGAAGCCCTTAGCCTGGATGGAAGACTGGCACTCGATGTGGTCCGCCGGCATCGGGGGCAGCTCTGAAGGAGGTAAGCCGAGTTGAACACCACAGGCAAAGCCAGAGGAGGGGGGTTGGTCCCCTGGCTGGGAGTGATGCCTTGAGGCCCAGAGATAGGTGTGGAGGCTGTAGGGTTTGTCCCCCCACTCGTTTCTAAGTCCATAAGGAGGGCTTCAGAGTAGCTCGGGACCATCTGTTGGTTACAGCGAATGTGCCACTCCAATTCTGTCATGTCCACCGTGTTGACACGAGAGATGGCTCTGTAGCTTGTCCCATTCACACCAATGCCAATCGAAATTCCTCCCGGGTGGATTCCATTCTCAGTCCCTCCTTCAACCCCGTCCCCTCTTCCACCTCCGCCTGGCCCTCCTCCGCCGACTCCCCCAACGGTATCCTCGTCCTCCCCGAACAGCTTCTCCACGTGGTAGTGGACATACGCTGTGCGGTATTCCGACACAACTCGCAGCGGCCACGACAGGAGGAAAGCTGAAGCCAGCCAGAACACCTTGTGCCTGGAGAACCACGGCTGGTGAGCCGGATCGGAGAATGCTAGGATGTGTTCGCGGAAATCCACGTTTTTAAGGTGCATTCCCTCCCTGGCCTCCATGTAGTCATCAAGCCCCTCGTTCTCCCCAAAGAAGCGTGCTCGCTTGCAATTACAGAGAAAAAAATCAAAAAGTAAAACACTGTATGAGATTTAATGCTAAATTATTACCAATATTTGAGAAATTTACTGATTCAAATGCTTCGTATTTTTGATTTAAAATGAAAATGGACATTTGTTTAAGCTTAAAAAAAATAAAGAACAAAATGAATCGCATTCATTGATCCCTCACATCTTACCTGGGTGAGGTAGGCAGCTTCAGCACGTGCACTTGAAAAGCTAAAGAACACAAAAATGAGTCACTATCTATTTCACCTTAAAAAGAAGGTAAACCTTTTAACAATCAAAGTCATACAGGTTTAAATTTGATGTCTCGCTGATACCTGAAACACTTTGTGAAACGCAGGCGAACAGCAGGGTGTTGCTGCAGGTCCAACAGCTCCTTTGACACGTCTTTGACACCATAGCGGGCGTAGTCAAACTCAGAACTTGAGGCATGAGTGTTCACCCGCTCATGGTAGACCTGAAGAAGAAAAAAGCAGGGCATGGACAAAGAGGTCGAATAATGATGAAGAAAAAAGGAGAGGAGGAAGGAAAGCAGGATGTGTGGTACTAGAGGGACATTTTTATTTTCAAAATATGTCCCAGCATGAATAAAACTCAGCTGTATGGAATTTTTTGCCTTCTGTGAACAGCTGTTTGTCACAGCTCAACAACATTCACTATATCAAAAGCAGTCAGGATAACAGGAAGGGTGAAACGTGGTTGTGTAGAACCAGAAAAGTGTCCTCACCTGTGTGGTCGTATATGCATCTCCATTGCGGTATCTTGTCACCTGTCTGGTCCTCCTCACATAGTGATAGCTGATGGCCTTCCACCAAATACAGGGTGTGGCCTGCTGAAGTCTCTGCACACGCTCGTATACTTCCTGTGTAAAACAATGAGGTAAAACAAGGCTGCTTTAAAACATGTCACAATGTTTTACACTTCCTACAACCAACTTGCTGCCTGATGTGTTAAAAACGAGATAAAGACATAACATTGCCTAAAACGTGCAATCACAGCAGGAGCAGAAACAGTTGTTTTACTATCTGCATACAGTTTAAAGCTGTGCAGGCTGGTGATGGTTTGGTTATTGTGGGATTATTTTTGTCCTTCTATCGTTTCCTTCTTAGTAGAGACAGACAAACAGCTGTACGTTTGGAGACAGACAAAGGACAGGCCAGAACAAACCAAAAAACAGCAAAACCCTCGGTCAGCTAATTTCCACATGTAGGGAAGGAAGCTGTATAATGACGCTCCTCATGAAATATTACAAATCGGAATAAACTGCATTAAACTCAGGCTTCCTTGAAGTGAGGATTATCTTTTTTTAATCATTATTTTTACTGGTTTCACCATTTTAAGGATTCCAGACACAAAAAACAATCACTAAGTGAACAGATTTGTTTTTTAATAACAGGTCTTTCTAGATTTCTCTTCCAGCGTCTTTCTGTTTCACCTCACTCGAGTCCATTACACCCACCTTCAAAATACAGGCTATAACTTTGACACATACCTGGAATTCAGCATGAGCCAACATGGCCGTCTTGGAGAAGCAGTGCCAACACTCCACCAGGTAAACCACATACAGCATGGCCAGGAAGGCCAGTGGGATGTACACGTAACCACTAGAACACGGACTTTCCAAATGCTGGATGTAATAGGCCGCCGAGGTGCCGTCAGCAGATACGGAGGAGGAGCCCAGAACGGGTACGCGACAGAGAGCGCACCAGGCCAGCGTGGCAAAACAGCCGTACATGAGGAGGGTCAGGAGGAGGCACTTCCAGTGGGACTCCCGACAAAGGGAAGAGGCCAGAGACTGTTGGACTGGCCGTTGCTGTGGAGGCATAGAGAGGAAAAAAACAGCTGAGCCACAAGACTACACACATTGGCAGCCACGAGAGTGATAAACAACACAACATGCCTCTAAATATGCCTCATTAATAAAGCCAGACAGGTGACAATCAATGCTGCTGAACACAAAATGTTTGTAAAGGACGCAACACAGGTTTTCTGTACCTGCTGAGGTTTTAATAACCATATTCTTCCTGTTTGGTAAACAGTGTCACATTACAGAGAAAGTGTGTAAGCTGAGGTCTTGACCAAAGGAATGCATTACGCTGCCCCACTCCCATCACAGGATAAGTGCTGCATATTAGGAACACACACACACTGCTTATGCCACTCTCTAAGTGCACACAGCCTGACTTGCACCGTGGAGACATCATATTACAGCGCACTCAAACACACACATATACGTACGCACACACATTTGAGATATACAGACATAGATGGTCTAATGCGCCTCATTCTTTTCAGTCTTGCTATCTCTATCCATACTCACGCCAGCATGCACGTTTCTCAGCACTGTAATGCAGCCAGCGGAGAGTATGTGAATAATTTAGATGAGAACGATGCTTCTAGACGGTTCTCTAGCCAACTGACTCCGCTCCAACATCAGGAGCATATCAGCATTGCTGCAGTTTGTGTGTGTGTGAATGAAGGACAGAAAGATAGACTGCTTGTGCCAAAAGGAAAAAAAAAAAAAAAACATACCTCATTTTTATGCATACCTCATGAAAACGTGATGAGAAAGGAACACATTTAACACACACCTGAACTGTTTCATGTGACAAAGGGTGCTTATTTGTGTCTGCGTTGATGTCTCCCCTGTGGTGAAGGCGACAAGGCGAAAGAGCAACAAAGCAGATGACGAAAAGAAGGAAAAAAAAGACGGGATGACACCATTGTCCTTTCCTCCTCTCAGTCAAGTCTGCTCGTCCTGTCAGCACATCACGCCCTCCATTTGTCTCACACACTGGCCCCTCTCCTCCCTCCTTCTACAGTATATCACTCACACACACACTCTCATATCCTTCACTTTCTCCCTGCGCACCACAACAGAGCCTCAATTTGCTATTTGCTATATTTGCTAGCAGATCTTGGTGGATGCACTGCACACAAACACGCACAAATGTGCACCCATGATTTCAGAGGACATTTGCGCGTCTTGCCTGAAACATATACCAATGTTACTGCAAATCTTACCTTATCCTCAGCTGATAATATGTCTGTACCTTAACCTTTAATGATTTACTTTTTGTGTCTATACGTGACTGTGCAAACAGACTCAGGCTCACATTAACTGTACACACACACACACAGACATTTTTCACTACTGTACGTCAAGGGCGAGCAGTGAAAGGCAGAGAGAAGGGCATCTACACTCCACCAGTCTGTCATCACTCTGCAAAAGCTGCCAAAAAGCATCTAAGTGCAGGCCTTAAGATTCTAAAAATAGGTTTGTTGCCTTTAAGAAAATGAAAATGATCCGTGGTACCAACTTCATATCATATTTAATGCTTCTCGTATTCACATCTTCTTTCATTTGTCTATTCTTATGCAATCTCTTTTTCCTCCTCCTTCCCCAAATCTACTCCCCGAGCTCCTAAGCATTTTGTACCCACCAATCAGAACTTTTACCTCGCCTCACTCTGTCCTCGCCTGCCAACCCCACCCTCCATGTCTCCTCTGTTACATCCTCTTTCAAAGTCTGTCTCTAAGTGGATTGATTGGGCTAAGAGTGTAGCGTAGGGGGAGGGGATGAGGAGTGTGAGGGGAGACAGAGAAACGGTCATGAACTTTTCATGAATGCAAGTATGAAAGGAAGCTAAATAAGAAGAGGAGGATGAGGAGAGAGGGAGAGAAGCTAAAGAGCCAGCAGCAGTGACAGAGTGCACCTCTCTCCAGAGAACTCCACTGCCAAAATCCATCCTTTTCCACCATCTCCCTCCCTCTTGTGCCCTTATTTTGTCCTTCTGGCACCAAACCTCTTTTGTCGTTTACCTATTACCCAAAAGAAGAAGAAAATACTCCAGCAGTGCAAAAAAAAATGTGTCAAGCATTTTCAACAAGAATCTGCAGCCGTGATGCCAGTGTGGGTACAATCAGCCCAAGACAGGAGTCAGATTATTCCTGTAAGCACTTATCCCAGTCAGCTTTTGTCAGTATGAGCCATTCTCTGTCCCACAGGTGAAGACACCTGAGTGCCAGAGCTTTAGCACGACTTAGTGAGCATAGTCAAATAAACCAGTGCCGTAAGTCACCACACAAATTCCAGTGAAAGATGAAACATCAGAGCACTCTGTCAACCATCAACTCTGCATGACGCCAGCTATTTACAGTAATGGGAATTATACACCATATATGGGACTGAGAGGCCATTTTAATTATTACACAGCCACTAATGGAGGGTCAAATTCCAAATCCAGCAACAATGCACACAAGTAGTTGTCTTCAGAAAACTGAAAGTCTTTGGTGGAGTAGAAGCAACTTCAAAGGAGGAAAAGCTCCTACTAACACCTCCTTAGTAATTATTATTCTACCAGGATATTTGAGCCTACAACAATAAAAAAAAAAAACCAGAGTGTGCAACTATGTGGACCAGAAAACATTTTTAGGTGAGGCAAAGGATTGCTGAAAGAACTGATTTAGAAAAAACAAACAAAGATTTTGTACTACAAAAATAGCAAAAAAGAAAACTTTACTGAAAACCAAAAAAGCTTTAATACTAAAAACAGTAATACTAGCAGGGGATTTGGAAGGCTATTGTCAATATTCAGCCCAATTCATGAATAATTATCAGCAGCAGAAACCAGGCGTGTTGCATTTGTGGGTCCTTAATTATTGTCGACTTATTATTCTCGATAACCATGTGACAGCTTAAAACGACAGCTTGACAACTTAGGTGAGATTTACAGCATGAACGGGAGCCACAGCTCAGTGTCCTCTGAAAGCATGCAGATTCAGGCATAGACTGTAGGTAAAAGATGGTCTGAGATTGCAGGTCTAAAAGCTGAAGCAAAATTGAGTATTTTGGTCTAAATAACCCAAAATGTGATGTCCACACATGTGCACGCCACGTCCTAGGAGGTTAAAGAGGTCAAGTCAGAAAGCTGTTATACACCTTTTCGCAGTCACAGCTACGGAAAGGTACATCCAACATTTATACTGTATTTGTTTGCAAAGAGACCTCAAGTTGTCCAGAAGTCTGTGGAGAACGAATTAGGGCTGCCACGATTTGTCGACTAGTCACGATTACGTCGACTATTAAAAACGTCGACGACTGATTTAATAGTCGACGCGTCGTTTGAAGCTTTGTAAGATCACAAAAGACGCAGGAATAAGTAGCAGGATTTATGAGTGTAATAACGGACTGAAACAGAAGATGGCAGCACTGCATGTACAAGGATGCCAGCTGCCGTTAAACCCCGAAGAAGAAGAAGCGGTGTCCCATAATTCATAGTGCAGGCTAGCGTAGTTGTCAACGATGGCGGCCGCTAGTTAGTTTTAATATTACTCTTATTATTCTTTCTGGGTCACAAAATAAACGTTTAACATATTTTCAGGCGAGAATGTAACTGTGTAAACCTCAAATATCTGCTCGGTTTATCAAGACACCGCATATTTTTAAAAGCGCTCCGACGTTTTCGGAGACGTCTGTTTCACCGAAACAATCTGCAAATGTCATTAAAATTTAATAAACTATCATCTTGTCGTTATTTTTAGTTAGCACATACCTTAAACACTTCAAGCTGTAAGCTAATGATAGTTATATAAGAGCAGATGCATGCTGGTGCAATAAGCTGTACGTTTTACGTCCAATGGATGCATGATCTGATTAGTCGACTAATCGCAAAAATAATCGGTGACTAGTCAAAATAATCGTTTGTGGCAGCCCTAGAACGAACATTGATCTATGACATCAGTAAACGCTTTCTTTGCTACTGAATGAACACAATCAGATGTTGTATTCACTGCAGAGTAAGGTTAACTATGTTGAATAGACTCCACTAACTTTTAGCAACGCTGATCTTTCATATATCATCTTCAGAGGAATGTTTTTTGTTTGTTTACTTAACGCTGATCTGTGAATCGTTCAGGCATAAAAAGGCACCTAACTCAAGAGATGAACCAGTGTTGTGTCTACACTAAAACAAACAACAGTATTGAACAGTATCTGAAATTAACGTTAAGAAACAAGAGAAAAAGTCCAGCAAAGACCTGACACAGGACCTGAGAGAGGCTGAACCTTTAGTTGATCCATCTGCTGTACACTGAAGCCTCATCAGAAACAGTCTCAGTGGACGGGTGGCTGTCAGGAAGTCATTTTTAATGAAGGGAAATGGAGCAGAGGCTGAGGTATACCAAATTATACAAGAAATGGACTGGAAATCTGTGACAACAGGACGTATGGAGTGATGAATCCAAATGTGAAGATGTTGGTTCAAATAGTTTTCACGTATGTATGGATGGAGAAGGTCAGAGGAGTTACACTGTGGGCGTCTACAGCCCTTTGTAAAACACAGTTTGGCTCTGTCATGGTTTGGAGCTGCTTTCAGCCACTGGTGTTGGAGATCTTGTCAAAATTGATGGAATTATGAATGCAAAAAAGTGCCAACAGATTTTCATTTTAGTTTGAGAGAGTCATTGTGTTGACCCCACTAAAATATTTACTTTCAAGCTTGTTCAAATTGTACAAATCTGTTTTCCCTTACATACTGCAAGAAATGAGGGGTGACTCAAGACTTTTGCCCACCACCTACCTCCTGAAGGACTGACCAACAATCAACACTTTTGTCTATAAAAGCAACTCTGGCTGTGATCCTGTGTCTGTTAAAGCTGCCTCTGTAGGCTGCAACAGATCAAAGTGAAATCTCAGTTTCCTTGACACCATTATGCAAAGAAATCTATATAGCCCAGCCTGGAGGGTGTCATCTTTCCTATTTCATACTGAAAGTCTGAACTGCTCTCCTTAGAAGCTCTTTTGAAGAGGGCGAGTGGCTCTGACACGACATATTCTGTTGCATTAATGGCATCGTTTCAGGGTTAAATATGCATAAAACATACTGCTTGACAAAGTTTAGCTGGGCTCAAAACGCAGACACTTTGACACAATCTACATTCGAGAAGCATCCCGAGCACCCACAATGACTGCAGATGGCTGTTTTTTTATATCTTGGACCAGCTTGATCTGTGAACAAGATTTTAAAGAAGTAATTTTAAACATCCTGAGCAAACATCCGATACATCCTGCTTCTACTAACTGAAACACTCACAGGCCTTTCCCGTTAACCGTGTTTGTGCGCTTCGCACGAAAGGATCGTACAACCCTCTCTCCGTATTAAGGTGTCTAATAGAAAACGTGCGCTGCTCTCCCGTCCTTCCGTGCTTCAGCTCATACTGATTCAGCTGGTTAGGTGTGACTGGAGCAGCTATAATTAGCAATCCTAGCGTGTGGGTGGCAAATGAAGTGAGGGAGCGAAGAAAGGAAAATGTGCTGCTGATGCTTACAGTGCTCTGCTAAAAATTATGTCATTTCAACACAACTGGAGGGAGTCATTTGGAGATGTCAGGTTTCTACTAACTGTTCGGTGGCAGCAAACAAATTATTACCACTTGATGTGGCAGCAGTGTGTCATCATACACTCATAACGCTATCATCATTATTGCTCCGTGTTGGAGTGTGCTCAGTGGAGACTACAGACCAAACAATGACATCTCCTATTCATAAATTAAATATCAGTGAAGGCAGAGGTTGGCCTATACGTGAGCCTGAATCCATGTTAGTTACAATACTGTAGATCCGAATGGTGGATGCTAAAAGTTTTCACAGAAACCTCTCAGTATAAGTCTAGTCTCCATCTGTATGTAGAAGGTCATTGCTTGCTAATATATAACTGTTATTGTAGCCCATGACAACAACAGTATCAACAAGATACTATCACAGGCATGAAGAAATAAAGAAAAATCATGTTTAATATCAAACATAATGACTGAATACAAACATTCAAACATAGAATTGAGAGCATTGCTTGTGTGTTCATTTTAGAAAAAGCTATTCTTGTTTGTCTCTCAGCGAGTTGTAACGTTTCTCTTTGTCGAGTCAGGTTTTGTGGCTGTTGACACATTTAGTTTCTATTCTTGTTAAGTTTACGTGCTTTTTTCAGCTCCTCTGGCTCTTTTCACATGACAGTTTTCCCTCGCCCTCCTGATGATGAGCGCCGTCTCATGTGGTGGAATGTAGTTTTCATGATTTGCGAGTGAAACTTAGAAGGGAATTAGAAACGCCTGCTTTGATGTGACGAACCTTCCCGCTAATGGAAATATGGCACGAGTGTTTGTATGTATGGAAGAGTATGAGCTGCAATTTTAAATCTTAATCATTCAATTCTGCTTCATTTGTAGCAATGCCTGCATAAGAGTGCATACATGTATGCATACCCATGTGGCGCAAAGTGAATGCAATTGAGGGAAATATGAGTGTGGAAACGCTTGAGTGGGAGAGTCGAGTACGATGGGGGATAGGAGGACGAGGCTGTAAACTCCACTGGGCAAAAAAACAGGAAGGAAACCAGGAGGGGAAGATGAAAAGAGTAATGGAGGCAGAGAAGAGATGCAGGTTGAAATCATTGCATTACACTGCACTGTCTGCACTGCAGGAACCGATACAGACAGAGGACTGTAAGTGAAAGGTATCTTTTAACAGGCGTTCCTAGTCCACACATTACATCCATTGGTTTATGAATTATCACTTCTCAGGTGCCAAACGCTTAATTTATCTCTTATTTTCAGTTTTATTAGTCCTTATTTGTAAGTATTGTGTATTTCAAAGTATTTGGACAATTAATACACTTACTCTGCTTGCCACCCAGCCAAGGTATTTAAAGCCCAATAAAACCAAAGTTGTCTTTTAATGGACTACTCAGTTGAGAGATGAATGACGTGCCTCTCATTTTCTCTTCAGTTAATCTGTCACTGCAATTTTTATTTGAATGTTTCCAGATATGTAATTCAAATAAGCAAAAAAGGGCTTTTATTTAATGGACAACTAACATAATAGTAGCAGCCTTATAGCATTCATACATGTGACCAAGAGGCTTGCCATAAGACTGGGAGCCTTGTACTGCCTCACCTGACCACCAAGTGTGACACAAGCATATTGCCACTGGCAGGCTGCTTGCATTACAACACACCCCACCTTTGTCTTCAAATGCGTTCAGTGGGAATGTGTTAGTAGCCTCTGTCAAGCTAGTAAACTTGTCATAAACTCCACTGGTAAATTACATTAATAATATTATTATATTTTTTTCATGATAAAGTGCGTTTAAGTGGATGATGCTGATTGTTCTAAGTCTGGTAATATAGTAATCACAGAGTGATTCAAGGCAAGATGTAAACATAAACATTTGAGCCCTGTGTGAGGACTTTCAGCAGCAGGAGGCAGGCTTCAGTAGTTAGGGATGTGTGTAATAAGGACAAGGATATCTGCTAATGAGCTTTGTATGTGTTCGTAAAATTAGCTGGAAATCAGAAGAAAACACACTGCTGAGTAGGTACACTGTAACATATTGTAACTCCCGGGGTGAAAATCCTGACATACTGCTAGGGTTTTCCGTGATTTCACATTACGTGTCCTTGTGTAATTCTGGCTGTAAGGTGGGTGTGTGGCTAAACTGTGATGTCACCCTCTTGCATCTCTGTGGTGACAGCTGGCAGGTAGACGTGGTCTACTATACAGAAAAGACCATCCATCCCAAGAGTAACACATCACGCAGCCCTGTCAGACATATCGCATCAATACTAAGCCCCCTACCACCCCTATCTGTTTACTAAAGCCACAGCCTGATCTCCATTCACACTAAACCAAGCTCCTCCGTGTCCTTGCGTGAGGCATCACGGAGGGAACAACGGCAAAGACATGTTTTGTCAATGAAAGAGCACACTGATAAGCGTATAAAAGCATGTACTATACATGGAGACGGCAGGCTGTTTGGGAAGCAATGACAGAAATTGTGTCATTGATAGTTCTTCAGTGAGCGAAAACACATCCACCTTTAGGTAAACTGGACCCTTGTTTTGAATGTAAACCCCAAGGAGACAGGAAAAAATGTCCTTACCTGCTCTCTTCCCGACCCTTCCTCCAAAATGGGCTCTTCTGCGGCGGCCGTCTCCTCCTCCGTCTGCATTTTCTTTCCTGCCACTCCTTCCCTTCCTCAGAACGGGGCACAGGCAGCTCCCTCCCCGGTAACCTCCGAAGGCAGGGACCTCCCCGGCGGAGCAGGGAGCTCGGTCACCCCATCCGCCGCAAGTCGGTATATAATTTCACGATGGCGGGGCCTGCGGCAAATAGGCATCATCTACTCCTGGTTTATAGGTAGCCCCTGCCTCCCGTTCGCATCCTCTCGCGCTGACCCCGCTTACTGCTTTGGTTCCACCTGCTCCATCCTCCGGCTCCGCGCTCACAGAAAGACGGCACGAAGCAGCCAAAGTCAAAGCCCCGTCACCCTCCGTAACAACCGTCTCCGCTGACGCCACCTCCAGTGATGCTCGAGCTACACAAGCGTGTGTATGTGCACGTGGGAGCGCGTGACCGACAGCGCAGGGGGGTGGGGGGGGGGCAACCGGAGTCAAGGATTTCTCCAGCTGCACCCCACCGATTGTTAGATTTTTTGCGCAAAGGTGAAGAGGACAAACGGGCAGCATCGAAGTACGGCAACCAAAACACGAATGTCCGTCTCCGTTTAACTTTATTCGGTCGTGTTTGCACCTTGCTTTGGGTCCCCATTGACGTCATATACCAACAACCCCCGCCCCATCTATTCACCTGATCACGTGCACCAGCGCGAGTCTCCCCCGTAGAGCTAGACACTCAGGAGGCACGGCTCTAACTCGTACAGTACGAGCCAAATTACATTAGGTAGCGCAGGTATTTATCATAATGTGTTACAAGCAGACATGGTCACACATAAGAATTCAATTGCCTCAATTACTTAGGTTAATATTTTTATTTCACATCAAACATCACAATTTATCAGAAATAATCAAACGTGAGATGGTTATAATGTGATGAAGGCTTAAAAGGTGTGAAATCTGACTGAGAGAAGCTGGAGTCCTTAATATGTCCTGAAAACAAAACGGTTTTATCAGTGACTTATCCTCTGTCTGAATCTTAAAGACACTGGTGTAAGACACTAACCTGCGTTTACTGCGGGGCTGATCAGGACGCTTCCCTGCCCAGCTGGAAGCCTGGAAGACCTTGGAGATGTTCTTTTTATGGACCCTGCTGTGGTCCTTTAGCCAAATTTCATATAATCCCTCAGGAAGGATAGGTGAAGTTAGTTAAGGACCAACATCACTTCTTTCAACACACACGCCATGAATCTTCATTCATCTTCATGAAATTTCATATCAGCAGTAACTTTGAATCTTAGTTACACAAGAAAATCTTTTTTTAACATAAAATTGAGGCAGGAATAATAACCTAGGCAACAACAAATCCTTCATCCTTCTCTTGGCTCTTGACGGAGGCGGTCGCACTTTCTCCCTCTCCCTTATCTTTCCTGCTTGGCTTCTCATGTCATTTGTATAGTCTGGCTTATTCTTTAACCATAAGATAGTCTCCCAGACTTGTTCTCTAAACACCTAAAGAAGAATTATGGATTTTATCAACTGGTCCCTTAATGAAACTGACAACTCCTGGGCTTGGGAGAGCCTGATTGTCCTGCGGAGACGTTTGCTGCCGGATACTCGATGGGCAGGGCTGTGAGTACTCAGACTGTGTTTTTTGAACACAGTATGGATAAGATCTTGGAGAAGCTCATAGCTCTGCAATATGGGTAAGATCTGGAAGAAGAACAACGGGAATTGAGAGACCTGATGGCCAGTGATGGACTTTAGACCTACTGTAAAATTGGAAGCAGTTTGTTCGCACTAACCAAAACAACTACCACTTATCCAACACTTATCCATGTCACCATGTAACACACTCGCATTACGCTTGCCTAAGTGTGGGGTTTGGCACATCCTGATTCAAAGAATGAGCAGCTGCCTCACAGCCCACCAATTTTGTGTATTTCCTAGAATTAAAGCACTCCTGGCATCTGTGGAGCTAAAACCCAGTGGATTACTTTTATTTTTTATAGTAATGTCACCACAACAAAAGAAAAAACAAAAAAACAAAAACGTAGTATTACCACATGTGATTGTCGATTGTGAAACCAGTGAATGTAGGCTGGCTGAGGTCTACTCTATCTTCATTTTGCATTTTGTGCTAAACTCAGATGGATTTGTTGCTAGCATTTACCAATAACAGGTAAAAATGATGCGGATAAAAGCAATTTCAGAGATGAAATTGCCATTGCTTGAAAATACCATTCACTGTGTAGCAAAGGAAAGCTGCAACAGTCCTTTTCTTTTTGTTATTTTGGGTTTGATTCTGTTTCAGACGTGTGTGTTTGACCTTTTGGTGTTGGTTACTAAGTCTGGGCAGATCTCTTATACACAACTTTTCTCTCACTTGTTTCGGAAGTCAGAAGAGAAGTTTTTGCTTTTTTAAACACTGTTTTCTAGTAAGAAAATTAAAAGCTAAACTGAATGAGTTTCTTTAGGTGCTCAAAGGATATTAGCAGTGACTGGCAGACAGAGGATGTCTTTCTCAGTAGGAATGATAATTTCCTGGGAGATTAACTTCTTTGGCTCTACTTCCCCTGCTTGGACAGCACACATTGCAAACAGCTGAACCTGCAGTTCGACCTGCAGACCTGCAGCCACCTAGTAAAACAAGACACCACATATGCCTATGAGACATTGAAGGAAGTAGAATTTAACCCTTTAAGAAACAAAAAAATGTCAGCTGTTTTGAACATTTATACAATTAATTCAATAGCATTAAAGTAGAAAAGCAGTGGCTGGAACATTAATATAAATATTATATTACATTAAATTTTTATTTCATATTAAACATCAAAATGAAAACTTACAGGGCCAGGGCTGTAGATGACCCGGAGGCCTGTAGCAGGAGGAGGCTGTTTCACATGGAACCTGGCAGCGACAGAGTGAAATAAACCACAAATAGTTAGGTCAGAGTTTTCCCTTTGGACTTGAAGGTGACCCATAAATTGCCTCCACCTAACAGTCCTCATTTCTTTCTGAGGTACTAAAAGACAATTGAAACAAGACCTAAGACTACAAAAATAACCCCCAAAAATCACTTGTCTCTATCTGTCTGGTGGTTTACCTGCATATGTCAAAACCAACATTCTTCATCACAACAGTAATGGTGGAGGAGGTGCCCTCCTTCAGCGTGCCAAAGTCTACGCTCGATGGGATGAGCTGGAAGCCCTTCACAATGGCACCTGTTTGACACTTCCTCCTCACTTGCTCCTCCGCCTGCAGGAGCTTCAACAGAGGACGTAGACAAAGAAAAGTTAACAATGAAAAACTGGCAGCTTGATACTACCCTGATAAAAATATAGGGTAAAGTATGTGTACAAATGGTATTATAGGAACATCTTTTTTTAACACTCCCAATTTGATAGGATATCAGCGATAAAAAGGCTCATTCCATCATCAGTGGGATTTAATCACCCCACTGATGATGGAGAGAGGAGAAAAATCCTTCAGGTTATGAAATAATTATGGCACAAACGTATAGATCCTCTAAAGGTCCCTTCAAGGGCCATTTTACTTTTCACAAACAAACAAACAAAAGATTAACTATTGGAATGTAAGTTCAAAGTTTCTCTTAATAAACATTGAGCCCACAGGTGGTAATACTATTAACCAACAGCAAGTTTAATACTAGGGAACCACCCAAAACAAAAACTCGACCAGCACATTTTTGGCAAAAAAACAAAAATGATTTTGTACCGGTGCACTGCAGGATTTAGAGCCGAGGACAGAGGATGGTAGTGCGACTGTAGTCTGTCTGGGCTTTCCACTCACATCTAACTGTGGTGACTTGCATTTCCTAGAAGAATCCCTCCAACTGCTTTCAACTGGACGTGTACACGCACACAGACACACACAGGATAATTCATAAGTTTGCATAGAAGTGTAAATCATATACAGTATTATTTGTCTTTGTACTGAGCCATCAAGTCCTGGCAGAGATTCAACGATCTAAATAAATGTAAATAAAATTCTGCCTCTGTCCTCACAGAGTGCAGTTTCTGACTGATCATACTGCTCCATGTCTGTATGTTCACAGTGGCCTTACGTCATTTCTGTCCTAAAAAATATTTGATGCATTATTGGTGAGGTTTCCAGGAATTAATAGTAATATAAAACATGAGAAGGTTGGAAACAAACCAGCAGACTGAGGTGTGGGGTTGGTGGGTCTCTTTTCTAGCACCTTGCTGCTTCTTGCTGAATGACTAAAAGAAAAAACACACATTAAGCACCGATGACGACAGTTTTGTAAGTGGCTAAATCACAGAGTGAAAAATGAAACAGGAGAAACAGTTCAAAACATAATTTGCTCATTATTACCTTGCAGACTGAGACGGTGTTGGGTTTAAAGGCCTTGGAGCTGCAGTGCCAAACACAAATGCAGTTTAATAAACAGCTTCATGTCACCGAAGTCACCATTAAGACTCATTTATTCTGTTGTTTTGTTTTTTTGGGAAGATTCCAATCAAAAAAACATCTTTAAAACATGTTATACCTCTAGTAAATACTCACAAAGGTATCATAACTTACTGTCCTCCTGTGGCGCATCTTTCAGGAAGCCCTCAGTACTGTCCGACTTGGGAAATGGTGGGAGAGCCATTGACAAACTCCTCATGTCAGGTATTTGTTGCTGTAGCAGACTCTGAGAAAACCAGAAACGGTGCTTCGTGTTTTTCTACACTGCACAGAGAAAAATCGACTGGGAATCCTTTAAGATGATGTTAAGAGAATATAGTACCTCATACAGGGGAATATTTTCTGGGTGGAAAAAGGGAACAACGCTCCTCTTCCTCATAGCCTCTCTGTAGATCTTCTCTTCACGCATCTCCTGCCTAAAATACACACACAAGAATAGAAAAATAGTACAAACTTTAACAGTGGCAGTACTTCTTTTTATCTTTCTGTTAGTAGTACTGAAAGTATTGCAGTAGCTCTAGTTCTGTTCATAAAACCCACTCAGGAAAAGAGAGACGAAAAGTCATTTCTACAATTACTACAAACCAATGTGACTGACAAATGTCCAGATTAAGTCCTATACAAGTCCTAAAAAAGGCTAAGATGCAAAGGCTGCTTTGTTATATTAAGGTTATTACTCACAATCAGTAATAATGTTTTTACCTGTACTGTGTAAGTTTTTCAGTCCACTTTGTATCCTTGTCTTTGGTACAACTGGAAAGAAAAAGAGTATTTCAAAAGCATATTTACACAGATTAAAACCTGGAACTTTCACCTTAGTGAAGATGAGATTATTTTAGCACACGTACCTGTTTAATTTCTCCAAGCTGTCACTTTGTGCCGTGGCAAAGTCTTGAGAAACATCTGACTGTTCAGCTGGGCTACAGATTCCTTGGCTGTACAGACTGGCTACGTCCTCTGTGGACACATACAACAAAAGGTGTACTTT